GGTTTCCTTGTAGTCTACAACACAAGGGTTTCCTTGTAGTCTACAACACAAGGGTTTCCTTGTAGTCTACAACACAAGGGTTTCCTTGTAGTCTACAACACAAGGGTTTCCTTGTAGTCTACAACACAAGGGTTTCCTTGTAGTCTACAACACAAGGGTTTCCTTGTAGTCTACAACACAAGGGTTTCCTTGTAGTCTACAACACAAGGGTTTCCTTGTAGTCTACAACACAAGGGTTTCCTTGTAGTCTACAACACAAGGGTTTCCTTGTAGTCAACAATACAAGGGTTTCCTTGTAGTCTACAACACAAGGGTTTCATTGTAGTCTACAACACAATGGTTTCCTTGTAGTCAACAACACAAGGGTTTCCTTGTAGTCTACAACACAAGGGTTTCCTTGTGGTCTACAACACAAGGGTTTCCTTGTAGTCTACAACACAATGGTTTCCTTGTAGTCTACAACACAAGGGTTTCCTTGTAGTCTACAACACAAGGGTTTCCTTGTAGTCTACAACACAAGGGTTTCCTTGTAGTCTACAACACAAGGGTTTCCTTGTAGTCTACAACACAAGGGTTTCCTTGTAGTCTACAACACAAGGGTTTCCTTGTAGTCAACAATACAAGGGTTTCCTTGTAGTCTACAACACAAGGGTTTCCTTGTAGTCAACAACACAAGGGTTTCCTTGTAGTCTACAACACAATGGTTTCCTTGTAGTCAACAACACAAGGGTTTCCTTGTAGTCTACAACACAAGGGTTTCCTTGTAGTCAACAACACAAGGGTTTCCTTGTAGTCAACAACACAAGGGTTTCCTTGTAGTCAACAACACAAGGGTTTCCTTGTAGTCAACAACACAAGGGTTTCCTTGTAGTCAACAACACAAGGGTTTCCTTGTAGTCAACAACACAAGGGTTTCCTTGTAGTCAACAACACAAGGGTTTCCTTGTAGTCAACAACACAAGGGTTTCCTTGTAGTCAACAACACAAGGGTTTCCTTGTAGTCAACAACACAAGGGTTTCCTTGTAGTCAACAACACAAGGGTTTCCTTGTAGTCTACAACACAAGGGTTTCCTTGTAGTCAACAACACAAGGGTTTCCTTGTAGTCAACAACACAAGGGTTTCCTTGTAGTCAACAACACAAGGGTTTCCTTGTAGTCAACAACACAAGGGTTTCCTTGTAGTCAACAACACAAGGGTTTCCTTGTAGTCAACAACACAAGGGTTTCCTTGTAGTCAACAACACAAGGGTTTCCTTGTAGTCTACAACACAAGGGTTTCCTTGTAGTCAACAACACAAGGGTTTTCTTGTAGTCAACAACACAAGGGTTTCCTTGTAGTCAACAACACAAGGGTTTCCTTGTAGTCAACAACACAAGGGTTTCCTTGTAGTCAACAACACAAGGGTTTCCTTGTAGTCAACAACACAAGGGTTTCCTTGTAGTCAACAACACAAGGGTTTCCTTGTAGTCAACAACACAAGGGTTTCCTTGTAGTTAACAACACAAGGGTTTCCTTGTAGTCTACAACACAAGGGTTTCCTTGTAGTCAAAAACACAAGGGTTTCCTTGTAGTCAACAACACAAGGGTTTCCTTGTAGTCTACAACACAAGGGTTTCCTTGTAGTCAACAACACAAGGGTTTCCTTGTAGTCAACAACACAAGGGTTTCCTTGTAGTCAACAACACAAGGGTTTCCTTGTAGTCTACAACACAAGGGTTTCCTTGTAGTCAACAACACAAGGGTTTCCTTGTAGTCAACAACACAAGGGTTTCCTTGTAGTCTACAACACAAGGGTTTCCTTGTAGTCAACAACACAAGGGTTTCCTTGTAGTCTACAACACAAGGGTTTCCTTGTAGTCAACAACACAAGGGTTTCCTTGTAGTCAACAACACAAGGGTTTCCTTGTAGTCAACACAAGGGTTTCCTTGTAGTCAACACAAGGGTTTCCTTGTAGTCTACAACACAAGGGTTTCCTTGTAGTCAACAACACAAGGGTTTCCTTGTAGTCTACAACACAAGGGTTTCCTTGTAGTCAACACAAGGGTTTCCTTGTAGTCAACACAAGGGTTTCCTTGTAGTCAACACAAGGGTTTCCTTGTAGTCAACACAAGGGTTTCCTTGTAGTCTACAACACAAGGGTTTCCTTGTAGTCAACAACACAAGGGTTTCCTTGTAGTCTACAACACAAGGGTTTCCTTGTAGTCAACACAAGGGTTTCCTTGTAGTCAACAACACAAGGGTTTCCTTGTAGTCAACAACACAAGGGTTTCCTTGTAGTCTACAACACAAGGGTTTCCTTGTAGTCAACAACACAAGGGTTTCCTTGTAGTCAACACAAGGGTTTCCTAGTAGTCAACAACACAAGGGTTTCCTTGTAGTCAACACAAGGGTTTCCTTGTAGTCAACACAAGGGTTTCCTTGTAGTCAACACAAGGGTTTCCTTGTAGTCTACAACACAAGGGTTTCCTTGTAGTCAACAACACAAGGGTTTCCTTGTAGTCAACAACACAAGGGTTTCCTTGTAGTCTACAACACAAGGGTTTCCTTGTAGTCAACAACACAAGGGTTTCCTTGTAGTCTACAACACAAGGGTTTCCTTGTAGTCAACAACACAAGGGTTTCCTTGTAGTCAACAACACAAGGGTTTCCTTGTAGTCTACAACACAAGGGTTTCCTTGTAGTCAACATCACAAAAACTTTCATTTTCCTATGAGTTCACTTTTATTAAAACATTCTCGGGGTTCACTTTATAAGATAGTGATAAACATTCTCTGGATTGATCTCCATCACTTTTTTGTATCTTCCTTTTCACTATCATTATTATTATAGACACGAGGAAAAGCAACAATAATGAAATAATAATTTTGATTTAAAACTTAAGTACTTTCCGTATTTTCTGTCCACTATGTTTATGGAGATGTTGTGATACTCGGTAGTCAGGATCCAGGAGTGAGGATGTGAGTACTGTTCAGTCTTCACTATGTTTATGGAGGTGTGATGCTCGGTAGTCAGGATCCAGGAGTGAGGATGTGAGTACTGTTCAGTCTTCACTATGTTTATGGAGGTGTGATGCTCGGTAGTCAGGATCCAGGAGTGAGGATGTGAGTACTGTTCAGTCTTCACTATGTTTATGGAGATGTGATGCTCGGTAGTCAGGATCCAGGAGTGAGGATGTGAGTACTGTTCAGTCTTCACTATGTTTATGGAGATGTGATGCTCGGTAGTCAGGATCCAGGAGTGAGGATGTGAGTACTGTTCAGTCTTCACTATGTTTATGGAGATGTGATGCTCGGTAGTCAGGATCCAGGAGTGAGGATGTGAGTACTGCTCAGTCTTCACTATGTTTATGGAGATGTGATGCTCGGTAGTCAGGATCCAGGAGTGAGGATGTGAGTACTGCTCAGTCTTCACTATGTTTATGGAGGTGTTGTGATGCTCGGTAGTCAGGATCCAGGAGTGAGGATGTGAGTACTGTTCAGTCTTCACTATGTTTATGGAGATGTGATGCTCGGTAGTCAGGATCCAGGAGTGAGGATGTGAGTACTGTTCAGTCTTCACTATGTTTATGGAGATGTGATGCTCGGTAGTCAGGATCCAGGAGTGAGGATGTGAGTACTGTTCAGTCTTCACTATGTTTATGGAGATGTGATGCTCGGTAGTCAGGATCCAGGAGTGAGGATGTGAGTACTGTTCAGTCTTCACTATGTTTATGGAGGTGTGATGCTCGGTAGTCAGGATCCAGGAGTGAGGATGTGAGTACTGTTCAGTCTTCACTATGTTTATGGAGATGTGATGCTCGGTAGTCAGGATCCAGGAGTGAGGATGTGAGTACTGCTCAGTCTTCACTATGTTTATGGAGGTGTTGTGATGCTCGGTAGTCAGGATCCAGGAGAGAGGATGTGAGTACTACTCATCCTTCTCTATGTTTATGGAGTATGTACTCTCCTAGTTGTACTCACCTAGTTATGGTTGCGGGGGTCGATTCATAGATCCTGGCCCTGCCTCTTCACTGGCCGCTACTGGGTCACTCTTCCTGCTCCACGAGCTTTATCATACCTCTCCTTAAAGCTACGTATGGATCCTTCCTCCACTACATCACTTCCCAGACTATTCCACTTCCTGACAACTCTGTGTTTGAAGAAATACTTCCTAACATTCCTGTGATTCATCTGAGTCTTCAACTTCCAAGTGTGACCCCATGTTGTTGTGTCCCATATCTGTAACATCCTGTCTTTGTCCACCTTGTCAGTTCCTCTCAGTATTTTATAAGTTGATATCATATTCCCCCTATTTCTCCTGTCTTCCAGTATACAGGGTCCTGAACGAGTCCTTATTAAGATGTCGGAATGCTGTTCTTAGGTTTGCTAGGCGCCCATATGCTGCAGCAGTTATTTGGTTGATGTGCGCCTCCGGAGTTGTGCTCGGTTTTATACTCACCCCAAGATCCTTTTCCTTGAGTGAGGTTTGAAGTCTCTTTGCTCTTCCCCAATCTGCATGACTTTGTATTTGGTGGGGTTACATTTGGTGTGTGTATGTGCGTGTGTGTGTGTGTGTGTGTGTGTGTGTGTGTGTGTGTGTTTAAGACGAGCTAGTAAAGAAAGAGAATGGATGGGGACATCACCCGTGATGTTTACATATTTCAGCATCGTCACTGTAACCAATCAGCCACAGAGATTCCTCAGTGCTAGGATATTCGGCTTTTTGTTCATAATATTTACATTGTTATTTTGTAACATGTGTAACAGTAGTAGGACGTGGTGTGAAAGATCTACATGTTTACCAGGCAGAAATTAAACACAATTATGCAGACTTTCCCTTCACGCTCGTATTACAGAATTTCTGAGATCACTACACGTTACCATACATGTTGTAATGGTAATTTATGGAGCTAACTTCCATATTAAATGGAAAAAGAACTGTCAGTAACGGCAAATGTAGAAATGGCACTTAGTAAATACGGTAATAAGAATATCCCTTTTTATTTTAACTACTGACAGAGTCGTGTCGGCTGGACTATGAGAAGGTGGGACTTGGGTGTTACTGGTTTGGTGGAGACGAACTGACGTACCCAGAGGCTGTGGCAGCTTGTGTGAACCATGGTGGTCAACTGCTCACTCTTCCAGCCCCGGGCACTCAACTGGACCTGCTAATTGCTCGCTTGCACCAAGGTAAGCACTCACCTGGTTGAGAAATTATTCACATGTGCAACACTTGGGTATCTTTACTGAAGAAATGCTTCGCTAGACAATGGCTTCATCAGTCCAAGGCAAAGAAGAATGGTGAAGATCAGGAGTTTGAAGTAATCAGTCCCTGCTATGTGCAGCAAATGGCATGTGCAGGTACTCTATGATCAAAGTTGTAGAGTTCATTTCACACCTCTGGTGGCAATGGGGCAGTACCCAGGCACTGCCCATGACTATGGGGGCAGTACCCAGACAGAGCTCATGGCCATGGGGCAGCACCCAGGCACCACCCATGACCATGGGTCAGTACTCAGGCACCGCCCATGACTATGAGGCAGTACCCAGGGACCGCCCATGATCATGAGGCAGTACCCATTCACCGCCCATGACCATGGGGCAGTACCCATTCACCGCCCATGGCCATTGGGCAGTACCCAGGGACCGCCCATAACTATGAGGCAGTACCCAGTAGCTGATCATGGCCATGGGGCAGTACCCAGGCACCGCCAACGACCATGGGCAGTACCCAGGCACAGCTCATGGCCATGGGGTAGTACCCAGGCACCGCAAATGGCCATGGGGCAGTACCCAGGCACCACCCATGACTGAGTCAGTACCCAGGGACCGCTCATGGCCATAGGGCAGTACCCAGGCTCTGCCCATGGCCATGGGGCAGTACTCAGGCACCGCCCATTACTGTGTGGCAGTACCCAGGCACTGCTCATGGCCATGGGGCAGTACCCAGGCACCCCCCATGACTGTAGAGCAGTACCCAGGGACAGCCCATGATCATGAGGCAGTACCCGTTCACCGCCCAAGACCATGGGGCAGTACCCATTCACCGCCCATGGCCAATTGGCAGTACCCAGGCACCGCCCATAACTATGAGGCAGTACCCAGTAACTGATCATGGTCATGGGGCAGTACCCAGGCACCGCCCATGGCCATGGGGCAGTACCCAGGCACCACCCATATCCATGGGTCAGTACTCAGGTACCGCCCATGACTATGAGGCAGTTGTGATGAATGGTTTGAAAAACCGACAAGTTGAAGATTGAGACACTTATGCAGCATATAGGAATCTTTATTCAGGAAACGTTTCGCCACACAGTGGCTTCATCAGTCCAATACAAAGAGGAAGGCGTAAGGAGAGGAGGAGTATGAGGTAATCAGTCCCTCAGCCTGGAGTCGATGTGTTCAGTCCATCAATCTTGTAGAATGTACATTCTACAAGATTGATGGACTGAACACATCGACTCCAGGCTGAGGGACTGATTACCTCATACTCCTCCTCTCCTTACGCCTTCCTCTTTGTATTGGACTGATGAAGCCACTGTGTGGCGAAACGTTTCCTGAATAAAGATTCCTATATGCTGCATAAGTGTCTCAATCTTCAACTATGAGGCAGTACTCAGGCACTGCTGATGGCCATGGGGCAGTACCCAGGCACAGCCCATGATTATGGGGCAGTACCCAGGCACAGCTCATGGCCATGGGGCAGTACCCAGGCAACACCCATGGCCATGGGTCAGTACTCAGGCACCGCCCATGACTATGTGGCAGTACCCAGGCACTGTTCATGGCCATGGGGCAGTACCCAGGCACCGCCCATGATTATGGGGCAGTACCCAGGCACCGCCAATGACTATGTGGCAGTACCCAGGCACTGCTCATAGCCATGGGGCAGTACCCAGGCACCGAGTATGGTGGTTGTTAAGACACATAGGCAACACTTAAGCAACTTTATTCCGAAACGTTTCGCCTACACAGTAGGCTTCTGTGTAGGTGAGAACCGTTTGTTCTGAGAGAGACGTGACCTCTCAGTGGCTACAATCTCACTACTACTACTCTGCACCTCTCTTTCCCACAGTATTTAAGTCTCAACACTGTCGCTTGATCTTCAGTTAGTTCCAGACTTTGGAACAGAACTTCTCCAGGCTGAGGGACTGACAACCTCAAATCTACGACTTTAAGGGTGATGGACTGATTACATCGTCTTCACATCTCTACTGCTCCTGCCTACTTTCTGTACTTGACTGAAGAAGCCTACTGTGTAGGCGAAACGTTTCGGAATAAAGTTGCTTAAGTGTTGCCTGTGTGTCTTACCTACCAACCTGTCGGTATTACCTGGAGTTTACCTGGAGAGAGTTTCGGGGGTCAACGCCCCCGCGGCCCGGTCTGAGACCAGGCCTCCTGGTGGATCAGCGCCTGATCAACCAGGCTGTTGCTGCTGGCTGCACGCAAACCAACGTACGAGCCACAGCCCGGCTGATCAGGAACTGACTTTAGGTGCTTGTCCAGTGCCAGCTTGAAGACTGCCAGGGGTCTGTTGGTAATCCCCCTTATGTGTGCTGGGAGGCAGTTGAACAGTCTCGGGCCCCTGACACTTATTGTATGGTCTCTTAACGTGCTAGTGACACCCCTGCTTTTCATTGGGGGGATGGTGCATCGTCTGCCAAGTCTTTTGCTTTCGTAGTGAGTGATTTTCGTGTGCAAGTTCGGTACTAGTCCCTCTAGGATTTTCCAGGTGTATATAATCATGTATCTCTCCCTCCTGCGTTCCAGGGAATACAGGTTTAGAAACCTCAAGCGCTCCCAGTAATTGAGGTGTTTTATCTCCGTTATGCGCACCGTGAAAGTTCTCTGTACATTTTCTAGGTCGGCAATTTCACCTGCCTTGAAAGGTGCTGTTAGTGTGCAGCAATATTCCAGCCTAGATAGAACAAGTGACCTGAAGAGTGTCATCATGCGCTTGGCCTCCTAGTTTTGAAGGTTCTCATTATCCATCCTGTCATTTTTCTAGCAGATGCGATTGATACAATGTTATGGTCCTTGAAGGTGAGATCCTCCGACATTAATCACTCCCAGGTCTTTGACGTTGGTGTTTCGCTCTATTTTGTGGCCAGAATTTGTTTTGTACTCTGATGAAGATTTAATTTCCTCATGTTTACCATATCTGAGTAATTGAAATTTCTCATCGTTGAACTTCATATTGTTTTCTGCAGCCCACTGAAAGATTTGGTTGATGTCCGCCTGGAGCCTTGCAGTGTCTGCAATGGAAGACACTGTCATGCAGATTCGGGTGTCATCTGCAAAGGAAGACACGGTGCTGTGGCTGACATCCTTGTCTATGTCGGATATGAGGATGAGGAACAAGATGGGAGCTAGTACTGTGCCTTGTGGAACAGAGCTTTTCACCGTAGCTGCCTCGGACTTTACTCTGTTGACGACTACTTCTGTGTTCTGTTAGTGAGGAAATTATAGATCCATCGACCGACTTTTCCTGTTATCCTTTAGCGCGCATTTTGTGCGCTATTACGCCATGGTCACACTTGTCGAAGGCTTTTGCAAAGTCTGTATATATTACATCTGCATTCTTTTTGTCTTCTAGTGCATTTAGGACCTTGTCGTAGTGATCCAGTAGTTGAGACAGACAGGAGCGACCTGTTCTAAACCCATGTTGCCCTGGGTTGTGTAACTGATGGGTTTCTAGATGGGTGGTGATCTTGCTTCTTAGGACCCTTTCAAAGATTTTTATGATATGGGATGTTAGTGCTATTTGTCTGTAGTTCTTTGCTGTTGCTTTACTGCCCCCTTTGTGGAGTGGGGCTATGTCTGTTGTTTTTTAGTAACTGAGGGACGACCCCCGTGTCCATGCTCCCTCTCCATAGGATGGAAAAGGCTCGTGATAGGGGCTTCTTGCAGTTCTTGATGAACACAGAGTTCCATGAGTCTGGCCCTGGGGCAGAGTGCATGGGCATGTCATTTATCGCCTGTTCGAAGTCATTTGGCGTCAGGATAACATCGGATAGCTTGTGTTAATCAAATTTTGTGGCTCTCTCATAAAAAATTCATTTTGATCTTCGACTCTCAGTCTGGTTAGCGGCTTGCTAAAAACTGAGTCATATTGGGACTTGAGTAGCTCACTCATTTCCTTGTTGTCATCTGTGTAGGACCCATCTTGTTTAAGTAGGGGCCCAATACTGGACGTTGTTTCTCGATTTTGATTTGGCATAGGAGAAGAAATACTTTGGGTTTCTTTCGATTTCATTTATGGCTTTTAGTTCTTCCCGCGATTCCTGACTCCTAAAGGATTCTTTTAGCTTAAGTTCGATGCTTGCTATTTCTCTGACCAGTGTCTCCCTGCGCATTTCAGATATATTGACCTCTTTTAGCCGCTCTGTTATTCTTTTCCGTCGCCTGTAAAGGGAGCGCCTGTCTCTTTCTATTTTACATCTACTCCTCCTTTTTCTTAGAGGAATAAGCCTTGTGCATACATCGAGTGCCACCGAGTTAATCTGTTCTAGGCACAAGTTTGGGTCTGTGTTGCTTAGTATATCTTCCCAGCTTATATCGGTTAGGACTTGGTTTACTTGGTCCCACTTTATGTTTTTGTTATTGAAGTTGAATTTGGTGAATGCTCCCTCGTGACTAGTCTCATTTTGTCGGTCTGGGGCTCCACGCATACATGTCTGAACCTCAATTATGTTGTGATCTGAGTATATTGTTTTTGATATGGGTGACATTTCTTATCAGATCATCATTGTTAGTGAAGATGAGGTCTAGTGTATTCTCCAGTCTAGTAGGCTCTATTATTTGCTGGTTTAAATTGAATTTTGTGCAGAGATTTAAAAGCTCGTGTGAGTGTGAGTTTTCATCAGAGCTGCCTCCTGTGTTATTACTGCAACAATATTATTTGCTATATTCCTCCATTTAGGTGCCTTAAGTTAAAAATCCCCCAGGAGCAAGATGTTGGGTGCAGGAGCTGGAAGATTTTCCAGACAGTGGTCAATTTTTAACAGCTGTTCCTGGAATTGCTGGGATGTTGCATCCGGAGGCTTGTAGACTACCACAATGACTAGGTTTTGGTTCTCGACCTTTACTGCTAAAACTTCCACTACGTCATTTGAGGCATTAAGCATTCTGTGCAAACAAGTGACTCTGCAATGTACAGGCCAAACCCCCCCCCCCCTTTTGCCTGTTCA